CATTTTTCGTGGGCTCTGGGCGTCGTCCGCTTGTTAGGATGGAGGTGCTCAGCGTGATAATATAAACAGAAACGACGGACGACGAAATGTCGTCGCCCGTCGTTTGGTTGCCATGTTGCTGTTGGCGACGTGGCAGCTGGCATTGTTGTTAGAAAACGAAAAGGGGGGAGATGTGTGTGCGCTCACCAAGAAGATGACCTGGCAACCGCAACGTGGCGCTCATCGTCAATTGTTGTGGGTGCTGGTCGTCGATTGCTGTGAGCGCTCATCGTGGGCGCTCATTGAATGCTGTGGGCGCTCATCGTTGATAGTCGTGGGCACTGGTCGTCGATTCCGTTGATTGGGTTGCTGTTGCCAGGCGGTCGTGGTTGTTGGGTCATCGTTTGCCAGTTTGTCGTTTTCCTTGCGTGTGGTTCGTTGGGCGGTTGTTGTCGGTTTTGGGCGGCCATGGTTGTTTGCGAAGGTGGGGGTTACGCGACCTGTACGTGATGTAGCATGGCGGCAACGTGGTGGTGAGGCGGAGTCGTTGGCATGGACGGCGTCCTGGTGGTTGAGGAAGATGTGTTACGAAGTCACAAATGTGTGACTTCAGTGGGATCAAGGTTCAAACTCACCCAATACAGATGCAGTTGGAAATTCAAAGATTTGAGAATCTTTGTGGGTCCCTATGGTTCCATGAAATTTAAAGTGTCAGTTGCACCTTTGTCGGTAAGAAGCTGGAGGGATTCAAGGCATTACATACAGAATAATGAGACCTGACATGATATCGAAGCAGCACAGATCTAGAATTGTTGATGAATTGTGGCACAAGATAGGTCCGTTCGCGAATTGCGGGGCATGAGAAGAGTGAGGTCGATAATTGGAGGGGATTGAGAATGATTTGTGCTGGGGACCAAGACGCCAACACTACAGCTATTGCGTGCATGGTGATGGCCTACCACGTTTGCTCAGTAATAATCACGTACAACTGATCTGATGCTCACAATCTAGGTTAACGGTACGTAGACTGACCAATGAGAAAATATGCATGGGGGGTTCGTACTTAAGTAATATCATTCAACCTACCTTTAATTTCTGTCTTACATTTGTATTACTGAATCTCGTCGCGAAGTTATACAACCGCCGTGTACAATTTCCTGTACCTTTGTGAATCTTGTAAACTTCCAACGATTCTATTATATGATTCTTTGATCAAAGGATTTTTGGGCAGCTCGCCCGCACATGATTAATATTCTTGTAAGTATTATATTCTAAGCTTAATTAATTAATTGGTTCAGTCCTGTTGTACTTACAAATGGAACGTCAATTTGCACATATGATAATGTGCCTGAGCAGATAGAGGGGCAATTTGTTCCTGCCGTAAGAAGGTTCCCGGACCCGCTCTTTCAAGACCAAAACCAAACCAAAATGGGCACCAACTGCGTGAGTCGCGCGCGGTATGCGTGTGTGCGTGATACACCAATGTCACACATGGTGACTGTGTGACGTTCCTTCTTTCTCCACACCTCCACCATCGTCCACGCCAACAACTCCACCTCACCACCACATCGCCGCCATGCCACGTCATGCAACCCCACCACCGCAAACAACTCTGGCTGCCCAAAACCGACAACAACCGCCCAACGAACCACATGGAATGAAGACCACAACCGGCAAATGACAAACCAACAACCACGGCCGCCTAGCAACAACAACAACCCCAATCAACGAAAACGATGACCAGGGCCCAGGACGATCAACAACCAGGGATCACGGAAATCAACAAATGGCGCACACCACAGCCACAAAGCCACAAACAACCCCAGGGGCAAGCCACGTCACAACTATGCGACACAAACGGATGACGATGATCACGTCGTCGTCGTCAGTTCATATTGGTTCCGGTTAGGGACTGTCATGGATACACCCAGGTATTAACCGTACCCGATCCACGGATTTTCCCACCCACAGATCAGATAAGGCACATTACGGATATATCCGTGGGTAAAACGGCCTGAGTGGCTGAGGACGTAGCTTCAGTTATATAAATGAGTGTATCTTGTTCATTTCTTGTCTGTTTTTTACAAAAAAAAATTGTGTTATGAAGCGAAAATTCAGAAGAATTCATATTAAAACAAAAGTCATTCATATATGATCTAGATTGAGTACAGTAAAACTAAAGTTATTTATATATCATAATCTGAGGTCTTTCCCTTTATATAATGCTGCTGTAACTGAGCCTTGATCACAGAGTGTGTTTTGGGGTGTGTATTAGCATGCCTTGGCCATCTTGAGAGTATTTATTTTCAGTTTCAGAGAAATGCCTTTGAGAACAATTGATATTTATGTAGAGGTATTGAAAGAACAATTTTGGTGACATAAAGTGTTACAAAAAGAAATCATTGTCCATCTTTTTTTCAATCATTTGCATAACTTTATTGAAGCCTGGGTAGAGGGGGGATTTAATCCAGGATCTGAGAGCCATTTCTGCTCTGAATGTTTGAGAGTTAATATTGTGCTGGGTGAAATTGATCTGACGGTGGCCAGTGGAAAATGCTCGCTCTGCATCCACAGAAGTAGCTGCAACAATTGTTGAAAATAAAGGAACATAAGTGTGAATAATGGTGCTTACCTGGGGCTGAGCAGAAATCAGAACCCATTCGTGAGAGTTGTGGTCAGGACTGTGATGCATTGTGCCAGTACATCATATAACCTCCCATTTCCTTGATTGTTTCTGTTGCTACCCTGGGTTCATCAAGGTAAGCCTGAATGTGGTCCTTGACAAACTGATTTTCTTTTGGTGCATATTGTGATTGCTTTGGCTAAAAATTGAATTCAATAACAGGATTTCAAAGATATTTTTACCAATTACCTTGTTTTCCTCCCCTCTTAGCTCATTCTCCTCTTCACCTGCATATACACTGTCTCAGTAATCACATACTATACTTTTTATAGACTTGATTTGTTGGACGTCATGACCATGGTCTTGAAACCATTTGACACTTGAGACAGCGACAAATATGTAGGGCTACATATGTAGAAACATATGCTCTCAAAACTGCAGGATACACTGTAATCTCTTTTGTTCTGATATATTTGCTCTCAATTTCTAAGTTTGGTGATGGAATTGTACATCCATCATATGCATAAAACAAACTTACAATAAAAAAAGGGATCAGATCCAAAAAATAAACAATTAAATATAATCTGAATTCATATTCAGAATACGCTAAAATCTTGGCCCAGGAAGTTCAGCATATTCTAAATATGAGTTTAGATCATATTAT